GCGCTGCCGGCCGACGCTTGGCGCGCTTGGCGCGCTTGGCGCCGTTGCGGTGTGACGCAAACCAGGCCCTGTCGGCGCCACGGCCAGTCCACGCCGCCCGTGACACATCGCCGCCATTCCGACGTCCCCGGGCCGGCCCGCCCGGACCGCGCCCGCGCGCCAGGAACCGTTTATTTATACTTCCCGATATCGCTCGCGCCTCGCGCCTCGCGCCGCCTGCTTCCTCACTGTCGTCTCGTCATCCTTTCGGCCGCCCCGCGCCCCACTTGGAGCGTCGCCGCGCCGCCGCGCCGCTCGCCGCGCGAGTCGAGCGAGGAATCGAATAAGGCGGCGGCGGAACCGAGTAAAAATGGCGGGAATCGCGGCCGCACCGCAATTCGGCCGAAGCGAGGCAGCGAGGCAGCGCTCCGCCGTCTGAGTAACTAAGAGCTGCCTCCCGCCCCGCCCCGCCTCGCCCCGCCCCGCTCCGGCCGCCAGATGGCATTTTTAATGCCTTTTATTCATCATATTGCCCTCGATTCGCTCAGCATTCCATTTCCTCATGGAAATGCGCATGCAAACCGCACGACGGTAAACGAATGAGCAAAATCAGGCGGACGACATGCATGGCCAGGCCCGGCCGCCAGGCCCACAAAGAGGAAAAGGGGCAAAAAAATGGAATGAACGGAATTTTAAAGCGCAGATCGGCAGGTTGGCGAACCTGGCCGGAGGCTGGTGGTGAGGTTGGCAGGCCTGTGTTGCGAGTGGTGCAGCCTGGTGCAGCCCACCGGCCATCAATCTTTTACGCGCCTTCCTCGCGCCGCTGAGCGCCGAGAGATGGCGCCACTGAGCAGCCCATCAAGGCGGCCACCTACGCCATGCGCTATCTGCCCCGGCCGCCCCGTCGCCCTGCTTCGCCTTCTCGCCGTCACGGGTGTGCCAGCATCGCCAGCATCGCCAGCATGGCCAGCATGCACGGCCCGCGCCACCCGCGCACCGGGCGCTGCGTGGGACAGGCCCTGGGGCGGCCTCCCGGACATCCAGGGCACTGTACATACGGTACTACATGCCGTCGACAGGGGGGTCCGAGCGGGCCGCGCTCCACGCCGAGGCAGGGAGGGCCAAATCAGCCGCCGGCGGGGCCCTCCTACATTATTCAGCACAATCAATTAACAAGACGCTGTGCCATCCGGGTCGGTTTGTCGAGCACGTCGGGCAGGTCCGGGCAGAACGGCGGGGTGGGGCGGGGCTGGGCGGGGCGAAGCAGCCCACCACGCCGATCCATTTTTCCGGCACCGTGCGTCGTGCTCTCTCCATATCGCCGCGATGAAGTGCGCGCTGCTATCGGGGCGCGTGGGGCGCCGCGGCGTCCTGGGCGGCGTCCTGGGCGGCGGTCGGTATGGTCAGGATGGCGGCGGCCAGCGAGGAAGGCCCTCTCTGGGGTGGGCCTCGCTCGCAGCAGCCTTTGCAGGGTATACAAGCTCGCAGTGGTACCGTTTGCCGGGGGCTGGCAGGGCTGGCGGGGCAGGCGGGCAGGCGCTGCGAGGCAGTGTGCGAGGTGAGGGTAAAATACGGCCGAGGTCCTTTATCAGGACGTCGGTCGGTCTTACTCAGGAAAGGGCTGCGCACTGCGCGCTGGGAGCTGCCTGGCTGGCTGGCTGGCTGGCTGGCTGGCTGGCTAGGACGCTGGCGCCGCCACTGCTGGCTGGCTGAGGCTGAGGCTCTCTGCCGACTCCAGGCAACGCACCCCGTGTCCTTGTGCACGCGCCGCCCCCGACCGCCGCGCTGCGGGACACCAAAAAAAAAACAACAAAAACAACTGAGTCCCAGCGGTGGTCCAGCCAGCGGGGCTGGGCCCAAACTTATTAAAATTCTTCCAGATTGCTCGCTCTGTTGTTGTTTTTTGTTTGTGTTTTTAAAACTGGGAGGGACGGCTGAATGGCGTAATTGTTATTTCAAAATTCAAATGTGACGAAACGGGGAAGCTTTTTTTACCTCTCACGAGACGGACTGGGCCCGGGAGGAGCCTAGTGTCGTCTCGTCTATTTCATGCAAATGCTCCGAGGCTGGGGTGACGCGGGGCGGCCGCCGTCCGTTTTCGATGGAGTTTCGGCGACGGGTCATGGCGCTGACGGCGGCGTGACGGAGGCTGCGAAGTACCTGACCACGGCCAAGTCCTGCGGCGCCGGCGGGCGCTAGCGGGGCCGTGGGCGGCCGGCGGGGGGCAAGGAACCGGGGGACTGGGGTGGGGTGGGGGAGGAAGAGTGGGGACGGAGTAATTTTCGCGGGGTCGGGTCAAAGCACATGCCTCACTGGTCAAAGCACTACTGTGGGCCTGTGGGTGGGGGAGCACTGAGCAGGCGAAGCAGGCGACACGCCCGCCCGTCTGCCGGATTCCCGGCTCCAGCGGCACCAGCAGGGCCAGCACCCGGAGCGGGAGCAGGCCGAGAGCGGCGGCAGCGCCGAGCAGTTGAACCGTCTCAGCAGGCAGTTGGAGCGGCGCGCGCGGGGTGCGTGTGCGCTCCTCCTCTCGGTCTAGGCCTCGTTCTAGGCCTGTAGGCCAGTCTAGGCCGGCCTAGGCCTCGGCCCAGGCTTCCGGCCCAGGCAGCGGCCTGCACGGCCTGCACGGCCTTGGCCTTGCGCGCGAAGCGACGCGCTCGGCCTCCAAAGTGAAACATGTGCCCCCCGCTCATTATTTGCAGACAGAGGCGAGGCTGACGGCGCGCTCTTCGCGCACCACGCGCTGCTGCAGGCTGGTTCCGAACTGGGCGTCTCGCTCTCTCTCGCACTCATGGGGCGCTCCGCAGCGGTGCGAGAGAGACAGACCGATGGACGCCGACGCCCCCGCTCGGAATCGGCCTGCTGCGCGGGGCCGCGTTGGGGTGGGAGGCGGCGTGGATGAGGATGAAGCGGAGCAAGTAGGGTACCCGGTCGTCTCGGGGGCGTTGCGGCACGTCAAGGCAGTGATACATAAGCCTGCCCCGCCCCGCCCCGCCCCGCCCCGCCCCGCCTCCCGACGCAACCCTTGCACCTGCAGCGCCCTTCTCGGAGGCCTCGCCCCGCCCGCCCCGCCTCGCCCCGCCTCGCCCCGCCGGCACACACCGGGAACAGCGAGGGCCCCGCCCCGGCCTGTCTAAACACCGCCCCCAGGCTCTCCGCGGCCACGGCGGGGGCGGACGGGGGCGGACGCATTCAAAGTCTGGCCCTCGAAAAAGTGCTGCCTAGCTCATACAGCACGACAAAAAGGCGCTCGCCGTAAGAGAGCGGGAGCGTGGCGGAGCGTGGCGGAGCGTGGCGCACCAGAAATATATTTATACCCGCGTTGCTCCCTCCTCGCTCGCTCGCCCGCCTTTTGTTTTCCCCTTTTTTTGTTGTTTTCGTTGTTCGACTTTTGTTATTGTTGCTTTATCAAGCCGAAGCCGCAAGCGGAACACCTAGCACCAGCGGCCTTCGCGCGCGAAGACCCTCACCGCTGCGCTGCCGCCGCCCCCTGCAGGGCCCTGGCCGGCCCTGGCGGCCTCGGAGTGCTTGAGAAGCACTAGTTGCAGTCGCAGGGCGGCGGCTGAATCAAGGTGCAGACTGCATCTCTCCCTCACTCTTTCTCTGTCTCTCTCTTTCTCTCTCCCCTCCCTTTCATTCCTCTTCCTCTCTCCCGCAGCAACAACACAACTTTTGCTCGCGGCCGGCACGAATAAATGAAAATTCTTACTGAAAGCAAAGTGAGGCGACGACGCTGCGGACGACTCCCCCTCCCCCTTCCCCTTCCCGCCCCTGCCAGCCTCACCCACCGCCCCCTGCTGGAGAAAGTTTCAAAGACGGAAATGCAGCTGAGTGCGTCGAGTAATTGTAAATGGGCACGAGGACGAAGACGACGGAGTTGTGTCGGAGTGGGGCCGGGCGTGACGACACTTGTCATAATCTGGGAGGGGAGGGGGAGGGGGAGGGGGAGGCGAGGGGGAGGGGGAGGCGAGGGGGAGGGGGAGGCGAGGGAAAAACGGCAACTTAAAGCGTCCGCGACGTCAAACTGACGAACAGACGCGGTAACTCAATTACTGCAGCCTGCAGTGTAAATAGAAACTACTTAACTCGGGCGGAATAATGTTCCGGGGCGCCGCGCCGCTGCGTTGCCCGGCGTTGCCGCTTTCACGGTTTGCAGTGTAAACACAATGACACTTTGTGGCGTGCGGCTCGGCGTGCGACAGCCTCCATGATTGATGACGGGCTGCAGCAGCCTCTCCGGGACGCGCGGCAACGCCCCCGCGCCCGCCCGCCCCGCCCCGCCCGCCACGCCACGCCACGCCACGCCACGCCCACGCCACGCCACGCCACGCCCCCGCCCCGCCACGCCACGCCACGCCACGCCACGCCACGCCCGCCCCGCCCGCCACGCCACGCCACGCCACGCCACGCCACGCCACGCCAACGCCCCGCCAAAGGTTCCGATGTGTGGCCGGTAGGGGGCGCTGGTGTCATTAGTGGAACAGGGACCAAAATAGGGCTCTCCTTCTCCAGGACGGCGAGCGCGCGGCGCGGGCGGCCGCCGCCTCTGCCGTTCATCACCCCGGCCAAGCAGGCAGCCAAGCAGGCAGCCAAGCAGGCCGTGCGCCATCTGGGGCGCCGCCCCGCCCTGCGCCCCGCCACGCCCCGCCACATGCAAGCTCATTTCGGAGACCAATTTAGAAGGACCATTACTTATTGAAGACTTCATTATAAGCTTTGCTCGGGCGGTGCAGGTCGCTCACGCCGCCAAGTGGCAAGTGGGGGAGGGGGGAGCGGAGGGGCGCCGCGACTCCACACCAAGACCGACGACATCGTCACCCTGCTGCAAAAGTCGTGTCCGGGGCGTGCTTTTGATTCGGCTCCAGGAGGACGCCTTCGTCGTGCTGGTCGCTGTGATGGTGGCCGCAGCGCAAGAAGCTTCCGCGACGCAACCCCTTCCCCCACCCCCGCCGTCTCACCTCGGCCGCCGTGCCCGCGCATCGACGCCCTGGCTTTCCTAATTTCTTCGCCCTCTGTTTCAGGACCGGCAGCGACGTCGGGTCAACGCACTCGCCCCTAAGTGAAGGATCGGTGAGTGTTGCCGCTTTCTTTGCCTTTACTTTATTGTTGTTATTTCACTTCTCCTGGAGGCGGGTCCCTCAAGGAACGCGGCCCGATGACGCTGCAGGGCGCGAGGGATGGTTAGTCGGACTTATCAAGAAGTAATCGGACGTCAGAAGCAATTATCTCGACTCCAGGTCGGCCACACTCTCTCCACCGACTGCTGACGTGATCCTGGAGCGACGAGCGCGACGCCATGGCGACGTCTCGTCACCCCCTTCCCTCCCCCTCCGCCGCCAAAGTCCGACGGACCTGTCGGACTCCGCCGTGAAATTCGGTGCATTCCTCGCACTCCCCGGCACTGGCAGGACAGCGTTAATTGGCCTCGGAATTAAAACGGCGCGGCCTTCCGGCCAATCACGGGGCGGCGTCGCGCTTCCCGCCGAGAGCGAGGCCGCCCATTGGCCGGCGCGCCGAGGCCCCGCGCCGCCATTGGCCGGCCCGACGGCGCGGCCGGTTCGCGCTTCGCCCGCTTCGCGCCTCGTCGGCGATACTGACCGAGGCGATAAAACGGGATTTACCGGGCAGGGTCGCCGTGCGGCAGCGCCGGGCAGCGCGGCCGTACAGGTGGGCGGCAGTCCCGGCCGTCGTCGCGGAGGTGTTGCGACACGCGATGTGCACGCCGCGGCACGCCGCGCACACGCACGCACACGCACGCACACTAGCACCACCATTCGTTCAAGAGACGACGCCACAAATCGCTGCTGCTCGTGCCAACAACAGTAAAAATAAAAGTCTGGCACTTTCCGCGCGCGCAGTTGTTACCAGGGTCTTTTCCTGCTTCTCGCTAGTGCGAATGTGTGCGTGTGGGTGGGTGTTGGTTGGTGTTGGTGGGTGTTGGTGGAGCCGCCCGTGAGCGTGCTTTGAGACAATCACCAGCCGCCGAAGGGCATGCGCTGCTTGAAGCGTGCTGGGCAAGAGTGGAAATACGACACCCACCCGAGGTCACCCTTCGAGTCCTGGAACTGGGACTCCAGCCGCCTCCAGCAGAGCCTGTCCCCGAACACGCTCTAGGGCCTGCACGGCCTGCACGGCCTGCCGGGCGACGCGGTCGGAATCTCCGAACGCGCTTCGACGGCCCGCCGGTGACGCGGACGGAATCTCCGAAGCGTGATTTCAGAGGGAAATCAGACAGACGGCAGTGAAGCCGGGTGCGACAGAGACAGAGGCCATGGAGGAAGCTGTCTGCTGATGGCGCGGCAGCGCGGCCCGTCGCCCCACGGCTCTTTATGGCCAATAAAGACGGCCGCGACGACTTGGCGGGGTGAGGCGGGGCGGGGCGGGGCGGGGCGGGGCGGGCGCGACGAGTACGCCAGTAGGCGCCCCCACAGGGTGTCGGCGTGCAGCTGACCATTGCGTCTTGCGCCCGCCGAGGCGCCGCCGGAGCGCCGCCCGTACATTGTAGCCTTTATGCGGTGGCGCTGCGCGCAGCGCGTAGCACTCGGTGCAGCAGGCCGATTCCGAGCAGTGCTTCGTCGCTCTGTCTCTCTCGCACCCCTACGGACGGCTCGCGACCCGGCGGCCACAGGCATTGGGGGCGCCACACGGGAGGGGAGGCCTTTCGGGCCGCTTTCAGGATCTCCCCTCCTGGACCAGCCTCGACCAGCCTCGACCAGCCTCGACCAGCCTCCGCCACACACGCCCAGTCCAAATTAAGCAACGCGAGAAAACCGAGGCCGTTTTTAGTGTAGCAGAGCCTGGCCGACGGGGGTTGCTGCTGCGCGGCTGCGCGCCTTTAGCCTGCGTGTGTTTCCGCCCGCCTGTGCGGAGCGGGGCGGGGCGGGGCGGGGCGGGGCGAGGCGCACTGCGGGCCGATTGCTTCCCCTTCCTGATTGACACTGAAGTGGTTCTCCCGCCCCGCCCTGCCCCGCCCCGCCGCGCCCAGCCTTCCCGCCGCCGGACGTCCGTACGTCCACCTTCCAATATCGGCAGCCACCCACCTGAGCCCTTGCCCTCGCTGGCCGCCGGGCCGCTGGGCCAGTGGTAGCAACACAGCCGCGGTGCGCTTGAGCCGTTTAAGTGGCGAGGCTGGTAGGGCCCAGCGGGCTCCACCAGGCTCCACCAGGCCCAGCGCCCTGCCCGTTGGTGGCCTGTGGCTGCCTGTGCCTGCGGGCTTACCGGTGGGCAGGACCAATTCCGGACAGAAACAAGTGTGAAGCGGTGGAGGGAAATGATGCGCTGGCAGAGCTGAAGCGTGCTTGTACCGCCTCAGTTTTGCCAGTGATGTAACTTGTTTGGGATTTGTTTTGTTTTTGTGTTACTAACGCTCGTTGCATTGTGTGTTGCAGGCTGGCCCGTGGCACCACATCGCGCCCACCCCGCCGGACGCGCGGCCCCGTTGCTGCCCCGCGGAGCGGAACGCCGACTGACAGACCGACAGACAGGAACGAGCAGCCGGACGGACAGACACACGGCGCTGACGGACCGCGAGGGCGCGGGCCGTTTGAAAAGCAATAATTAGTTGGTGTCTATCGGGGCGCTGGCGCTGAGCTGGCGCGGCCCTGACGGCATGTCGGGGCCCCCACGATCGCCTCCACGCCCGCTGGGGCTGGACATGGCCTCGGACGCGGCCTCGGACACCGACAACGCGCTCCTCTAAGCGGCGGCCATGCACGGCGCGCTACGGCGGTGGCTGGCGGCCGTGGCGCTGGCGCACTGCCTGTCGCTGTCGCTGGCCTGCCCGTCGTCGTGCGAGTGCAAGTGGAAGAACGGCAAGCAGACGGCGCTGTGCGTCAACAAGGACCTGCGCGACGTGCCCCAGGCCGTGGACCCCGGCACGCAGGTGCTGGACCTGTCCAGCAACGCCATCCGCGCGCTGTCCCGCGAGCGCTTCCAGAGCCTGGACCTGGTGAACCTGCAGCGCATCTACCTGCCGCGCAACGGGCTGACGGAGATCGCGGACAAGGCGTTCCACGGCCTCACCAACCTGGTGGAGCTGGACCTGTCGCACAACAACCTGACCGCCGTGCCCACGCACGCCTTCAAGGACTTCCCGCTGCTCATGCGGCTCTCGCTGAGCAGCAACCCGATCCGCAGCGTGGCGGCCGGCGCCTTCGTGCCACTGTCCTACCTCATCAACCTGGAGCTCAGCGCCTGCGCCATCGAGACCGTCATGGACGACGCGTTCGCCGGGCTGGTGCAGCTCGAGTGGCTCAAGCTGGACGGCAACCGCATCAAGGGCATGCACGGCAGCAACATCCTGCCCAAGACGCTGCACGGCGTCGACATCCACAACAACCCCTGGGAGTGCGACTGCGGCATGGTGGACCTGCGGCGCTGGGTCGCCAACTACCGCCACCCGCTGGCGCAGGAGCCCGTGTGCCGAGGGCCGGCCAGGCTGCGCGGCCGGCCGGTGCGCGAGCTGGCCGAGGCGGACCTGGCCTGCCTGCCGGAGGTGTTCCCCACCACGCTGTACCTGGAGATCTCCGAGGGGAAGAACATCTCGCTGCAGTGCAAGGTGAACGCAACGCCCGAGGCCAAGGTGTCGTGGTACTTCCAGGGCAACGTGCTGCAGAACGACACCGTGGTGGCGCCCGGCGTGCGCCTGCTGTACTTCGTCGAGGACGGTGGCACGTTGCAGAAGAAGAGCGAGCTGTTCATCTACAACACCAACACGGAGGACAACGGCACGTTCGTGTGCCAGGCGGAGAACGCGGCGGGCAGCATGCACGCCAACTACACCATCCGCGTGATGGTGCGCGAGGACCCCAAGCCGCAGGCCACCGCCTTCCCCATGGAGTACGTGATCGCGGGCGCCGCGGTGCTGGTGGTGGTGGCCGTGCTGGTGTGCGTGTCCGTGACGGCCTGCATCATCTCGTGCAGGAAGCGGCGGCGGAAGCGGCGGAAGGCGGAGACCGGCAAGGCGGTGGCGCTGCACCAGAGCCAGACCGGCCAGAAGGAGGCGGCCGAGTGCATCGCCGTGTCCACGGCCGGCGCCAAGATGAACGGCACCGTGTTCATCAGCGACCGCCAGGACTACGGGCACGCCGACTACGAGCAGAACCCCGACCTCATCAACGACGCGGAGAGCGTGGGCAAGGACAGGCGCCTCAAGGGCGGCGACGAGTCGGGGAGCTACCAGGAGGGCAGCGCCATCGACGACCTGCCCGCCAACGCCGCGCAGCCGCAGCAGCCCGTGTGGAACGCGTACGCCGTGGCGGGGCCCATGTCGGTGCCCATGTCCGGACCCATGTCCGTACCGGTGTCCGGCGCCGTCGACATGTACCACACGCAACCGCTGTCCGCCGACGTGCACCTGTCCGCTGGCCGCTTCCTGGACGGCGACGGCTACCCGCTGGACTACGGGCTGCCCAAGATGCCGCTGCCGCACCCGGGCATGTCGGTGCACCAGCCCATGGGGGCCATGGCGGGCGTGCCCGTGGCCAACATGTACCGCACGCTGCCGCACAAGCCGCGCGCGCTCCACGCCGGCGTGGCTGTCCGCCGCTACTCGCGCGAGGCCGAGTTCCTGTCTCGGCCGTCGCCGTCCTCGTACGACCCGTTCCTGCCGCCCGACGTGCGGTACACTGTGGACGGCTACCCCACCACGGCCGCGCCCGTGCCCGTGTCGCCCGGCGCCACGCTGTACCCGGCGGGCACGCCGTCGACGGTGCCCGAGGACGGCATCCTGCCGTCGCCGCCGTCAGCCTACAAGACCGACGCGGCGCTTCCGTCCCCGTTCCCGTCGTCGGCGACGGCCTCGTGCTGCATGGTGACGCACTGCCAGCCGGCCGCGCGCTGCAGCGTGGCGGCACAGACGGGCGAGGAGGGGCCGGGCCCCAGCAACGCGCTCACCGAGAGCCCCGACGAGGGCTACGAGGGCGAGGGCGTGGACGCGGAGATGTGACGCAAGCAGCGGGCCACCGCGCCCGCACAGCCTGCCCCCGGCGCGCAGCCCTCCGCGCAGCCCGCCTGCACCTGCCCCGGCAGGACGCCGCTCGGCGCCGCGCCGGCCCCCGCCACCCTGGCGGCGTCCCTGGCGGGGTCCCTGACGGGGTCCCTGACGGGCACCTTGAGCAAGCGGCCGCCCCTGCCGCCCGCCAGGCAGCCCGCCAAGTGAAGACTTCTCACGCCGCACGAGTGTGTGTCGTGCCCCCAGCTCAACGCCCGCTAGGGTGACCCCAATTTCTTTTACACAACCAAGTATGCATGTATCGCATTCGTGCGGTGCGGCCCACAGACGGCAACTCAATGTAGAGACATTGGATGGCGACTGTGGACTGGAGGACTGAATGCCAGTTGTGTTTGATGCCGCAGTGTTGCGTTTGGCCAATGGCAGAGATTTGTCAATAGGATATCAAACATTTAACTCTGTTTTAATAAGCCTTTTTATACTGTACGATGATTAAGACGGAAGGTCATGTTTGTACAAACTGTATGGGATGAATTCGTGTACATAACAAGAGTGACTGTGATGTTTATAGTGCGTGTGTGAGCCCGTGTGCGTGTGTAGTACGGTTGTGAGCAAGAAGTGAATGAATAAAATAATTTCCTAGCAAAATTGATCGTGGCCGTGGTACTTGTTATCGGCTACCCTTTGGTTTTGGACACGCCCGGTGGTTGTGTCGTTGTGAAAGTGTGGAGAGAAAAGTTATGTACAAATAATAGTGTAACGTTATTTTGTTCAAAAGAAAATGTCACGCTCCTATCCGGTCCTGCTCATATTTCCCCTCTCCCTGGTTCTGTCATTTCTTTCTTTCTTTATTTATTTTTTCTAAACAATTCTAGAAATTTTTGAGTTGAGTTTTGTTGTTTGCGTTTCCAAAATAAATGGCAACTCTCTGCACTATTGCCGGCATGTGACAGCAAGTGCCTTACTTAACGCTGTCCTGTACTCGTCCCACATAGTTGCTTACATACTCGGACACAGTAGAAGTAGAGCAGCCGCGTCGTCCACGCGTCGACCAGGCTGGCCACCGGACCCGCCTCTCTTTGTTTTTTCTCTTATTTTTGTATGAGTTATCATTGCCGTTTGTAATAAGAGATTTATTTAAGCGACGAGAAGGGAATCCTGTTAATTCGTGGTTAGTGTGATCTTAACTGAATAAATGTACATAGGACAGATGTAAATTTGCATTAAAACGATTAAAAAGATGCGCACCTTTTTCTTTTCTCGCCTCATCACAAATGCCACACTGTGAGCACGCCTGAGTGAGAGGAGGAGAAGAAGATGGAGAAGAAGAATCAGAAGGAGAAGAAGAAGGTGGGGTGGGGCGGTGGCTTTATTACGCGTGACTAGAGAAATAGAGGTAGTCTGGTCTATTATCTCATTCCCAGATGGGAGGCAGTGAGTGCGCCTGGTCGGGGACGATGAAGGGTGGGAAGGGCCCGCTTGAAAAATGTACACGCTTTCGGCATGATTTAAGGGTGGCAGTCCTCAATTACCCTGCAGCTGGAATGCGCTCCAGCCCGGAGCCTCCAGCCCGGAAGCTGGCTGCCCCGGCAAAAAGTGAAGGGTGAGCCGCGAAGCGCCGCGAAGGGGAAAAAGTGGCCAAGAAAATTGGGGCATCAACTTTTCGAGGAGATGAACACCTTTTTGCGGTCCGGCTCCCCCGGGTTTGTAATTGGGAGGCCTGCCGCGCCCCGCCATGCCCCGCCATGCCCCGCCATGCCCCGCGATGCCCCGCTAGGGGCCGTAATAAATTGGGGCATTAAAATGAGATGTATTGTGAGAGCGCGGGCAGCTGTCAGCGAAGACGGCGGCGGGTTGCCACTCGGTGCTCTCGGCCGACAGCGCCGCGGATTTGCGGCGTTTCGTCATCCGGCCCTGAATGCGGCAACCCTACACGCGGCCCCCGCCGCCCCGTTCGCCTACGCACAATCACGCGACACTCTTCACCCAGCCTCGCGTCTCCTCCTGCACCCGATTCGTGACTCGCCAGCCCAGCGCAGCCTAGCGCAGCCCCGTGCGCCACATTCGTGTAACGTACTGGCGCCCCGAACGCGTCTCTATTTAACAGCAAAATCGTAAACGATAACATGAAATTTTAGTACGCACTAAATTGAGGCCCAGCAGCGGGCCTGCGAGCCCTGCAAGTGGCGTTCGCACCGTAAGAACGCGCTGCCGCCTCCCTTTCGCTTTTCCCCCTCCCTCCCTCCCTCTTTATCCCCCTCTCTCTCCCCCTGGCTGCTGCTACGGCCCTGCTGACGAGGAGCAGGTCCGCCCCGCCGCCTGCCGGCCTGGCGGTCTTGAATCCCAGTCGTCGTCGCCGCCAAAGGTTTTTCTGGGCACTTCTTGGCGACAGCTTCCCTCGGCCTTGGCCAGGCCCGGCCAGGCCCGGCCAGGCCCAGCGCGCGGTGGCCGCGGTGCAGCGGCTAAGGGGCGATCACCTCCGCCAGGCGGGCCGTAACGCCACGCCGCGCCGCCAGCGGCGATAATGGGAGTATATCGCCGCCATCGCCGTTCCCCGGGACGCGCTCTTGTTGTTGGCTTTTTATTTTTATTTGTTGTTGTTGGCGGCGCGGCGAAAGTGTCGTGATATGGAGAGTGCCTTTTGCCTGGCCTTGCCTACATATCCCGGCGCCGCGTTTTCGCCCGCTCCGCCCGTTTCGCGTGGTTTGTGGCCAGGGCCTGGGCCTGGCCGGCAGAGCGCGCTCGGAATGGCGGAAATATTCCAGTTTGGTTCGGCAGCTTTGTCGGCGGCCGACGTCGCGCGGCCCGCGACCGCCGCCATCCCCCCGCCCCCCGGACGTACGGCGCGCCGCACTTACAGGAAAAAAACACGCTCCAAGTTCCAGATTCGCAGCATTTCGCCAAGTGCCGGGGTAAACGCGCGGGAGTCTTAACGGTGACGTTCCGCGGCAGGCCGGCAGGCCGAACCGACCCAGTCCCCAGCCATAAATATGAAAATTGTTTGGAACAAGTCGGAGGTACACTGGATCCGCCCACCAGTCGGAACCACGTGAGACTCTGACGGGGACCGCGAACACACTCGCCGGGAAAGCAGCCCCCTCCGCGCCCCGCCCCTCCCCGCGCGGCCCCCAAAGGTCCACAATGGCGTCGGCGAGATGACATGCGAGGAAACACCCGGCGAGTACAACAACTGGAGACGTCCCCGGAGCTTCCTGGAGGGCCCTGGAGGCCCTGGAGGCCCTGGAGGCCCTGGAGGCCCCGAAGGTTCTGGAGCTGGAGGCCCCGCCGCCAGCCCAGCAGCCCCAGCAGCAGCCCCGCGATGCACTGCAAGTGGAGCGGCCTGTTCTTGACCCATATTTCGACTGTGGTGCTGGCGGTCCTGGCGGTGTGCTGGCGGTCCGCTCGCAGGGAAAGGGGTGGGGGCGGGGAAACCATTGGCACGCATTTGCCACACAGTCGCCCCATAGTGCTGACTTGACCAGACCCTTCACTGGACGAATCCAATATCGCTTCCATAGAGCCACCCCCGGCGACCGCGGCGACCACAGTTGGCTGCTACTCCAGCTGACCAGGAATTCCGCAGTGCCGGGCTCGTAATTTTTCGCATTGCGTTGGTGGGGGGTGGGGGTGGAACCGGAGAAAGGGGGAGGGGTTGGCTGCACCTAACGACTTTTCCTACAAGTTTGTACCTGGGAAGTAAAAATGGGCTTCCACAATCAGGGGGTGTTAGAGGTTACGCCCATTCAACAGCCCTGAGGCGACGCCGCGAGCGCAAAGTCGAAGAGTAGCAAAAAGTCGCCAAGAAAAAAGAGGAATAAAAAGGGCAAGCTGAGCCGTGAACGAAGTGTCTCATCAGGGCGCGTCCCGAATCAGCCACGGTACCCACTGGACCGTGTGATCGGCGGCCCGGGTCGGGACGGGTCGGGACGGGCTGCGCGCGCTCTCTTTTTGTTTGAGAAACGAGATTAAAACTCTCTAAAACTTTAAGTTGATTTGCAGACTAACCCCCCCTGACAAACTGAGGGCCAGGTCAACTCGGGGGTAACTCGGGGGTAACTCAGGGGTAACTCGGGGGTAACTCGGGGGTAACTCAAGGGGAAGTCGGGGGGAACTCGGGGGGAACTCGGGGGGAAGTCGGGGGGAACTCGGGGGGAAGTCGGGGGGAACTCAGGGGCAAGTCGGGGGGAACTCGGGGGGAACTCGGGGGGAACTCGGGGGCAAGTCGGGGGGAACTCAGGGGTAACTCGGGGGCAAGTCGGGGGGAACTTGATCGACTCGCCCAAACACTAGAAATACGCTCCAAACTAGCACCGTTGCCTTTGTCTCGTTGCCCCGATTCTAAAAGTGCCCCTACTTGCCCCTCTAGCTCAGCGGTTCCCAACCTTGGGGTCGCGACCCCAAATGGGGTCGCGAAAAAATTTTGAGGGGTCGCGGCGAGGTGGCTGGGGTCGCCTGGGGTCGCGGTGGTTTCCCGGCTGGCCCACACGCCGAGCACTGGCTGCTTAAATGCCGCAAAGTTGATCAAAACGGTCACAAATGTGTGTAAAAGATCGTGTTTTGGGTCGACTTTAAGCATCCACTGCTTCTGATCCGAGGCGGTAAATCGCCCTCCCTCAACGGGCAATTGGTCTTTGGACCTTCCTTTTGCATGCCTTTGTTACGGAGTGCGATTATCTGCCTTAGTTTGGGAGCAGTTTTGCCGCAAAGTTGATCAAAACGGTCACAAATGTCTGAAAAATAGTGTTTTGGGCCGACTTTAAGCATCCACTGCGTCTGATCCGAGGCGGTAAATCGTCCTCCGTCAACGGGCAATTGGTCTTTAGACCTTCCTTTAGCATGCCTTTGTTACGGAGTGCGATTATTTGCCTTAGTTTGGGAGCAGTTTTGCCACAAAGTTGATCAAAACACGATTTTTCAGACATTTGTGACCGTTTTGATCAACTTTGCGGCAAAACTGCTCCCAAACTAAGGCAGATAATCGCACTCCGTAACAAAGGCATGCTAAAGAAAGGTCTAAAGACCAATTGCCCGTTGACGGAGGACGATTTACCGCCTGGGATCAGACGCAGTGGATGCTTAAAGTCGGCCCAAAACACGATTTTTCACAGACATTTGTGACTGTTTAGACCAACTTTGCGGCAGTACTGCTTCCAAACTGAGGCAGATAATTGCACTCCGTAACAAAGGCATGCAAAAGGAAGGTCCAAAGACCAATTGCCCGTTGAGGGAGGGCGATTTACCGCCTCGGATCAGAAGCAGTGGATGCTTAAAGTCGACCCAAAACACGATCTTTTACACACATTTGTGACCGTTTTGATCAATTTTGCGGCATTTAAGCAGCCAGTGCTCGGCGTGTGGGCCAGCCGGGAAAACACCGCGACCCCAGGCGACCCCAGCCACCTCGCCGCGACCCCTCAAAATTTTTTCGCGACCCCATTTGGGGTCGCGACCCCAAGGTTGGGAACCGCTGAGCTAGAGGGGCAAGTAGGGGCACTTTTAGAATCGGGGCAACGAGACAAAGGCAACGGTGCTAGTTTGGAGCGTATCTCTAGTGTTTGGGCGAGTCGATCAAGTTCCCCCCGACTTGCCCCCGAGTTACCCCTGAGTTCCCCCCGACTTGCCCCCGAGTTCCCCCCGAGTTCCCCCCGAGTTCCCCCCGACTTGCCCCTGAGTTCCCCCCGACTTGCCCCCGAGTTCCCCCCGCCTTCCCCCCGAGTTCCCTCCGACTTCCCCCCGACTTCCCCTTGAGCTACCCCCGAGTTACCCCCGAGTTACCCCTGAGTTACCCCCGAGTTGACCTGGCCCTCAGTTTGTCAGGGGCCGCCAAACCGACGCGGGCCGCGCAGCCGTGAGGCGTCACGTCGGCACCATGGCGCCGCATCAGCCTGGGCGGCATCGGCAAGCATCGGCCAGCATCGGCCGCGGGGACTGGCGGGGACGGCGTGGACTAGCACGTACTAGCGGGGACTAGCTGGGACTTGTGGCTCCATTGGTACGGATTTATTGCGCCCTTTCCATACCCCGCCACGACGCGCCCCGCCCCGCCCCACCACGCCGCGCCGCGCCTCGGCCAGAGACAGGCCAGGAAATTGGCCGCAGGTGTGTTATTGGGGGATGGGGGGGCGGACCAGGAGGCGGACCAGGAGGTGGACCAGGGCGGGGGGGTGGACGGAGTAGGGAGTGCTTCGCTCGGCTTCGCTTCCGGTGGTGCAGGCCCGGCAGGCCGCACCGTCGCGTACAACACCAGCGCGCTGCATCCAATACAAGAAAAGCAACAAAAGAGGGAACAAGGGAAGGGCAGACTGCGGAAACGCAAACAGACCACAAGCAAGTCACCCCGGCCGGGCGGGGCGGGGCGGGGCGGGGGCCTCGGGGGACAAAGGCGCGCCAGGAAAGGTTTGCGGCCCCGGCCAGCCCCGTCCGCGGGCGGCCGTGCCGGCCAACCTGCGAGGGTCAACTTGGGAGTTTGCCTCCGCCTTAAGTTCTCTTGTATCCAATTTTCAATCCCTTCGGACGCCCTTTGGCCGCGAGGCCCAGCCCCGCCCCGCCGCTCCCCTTAGGCACATTGAGAGTTGGACCCGGCCGCCAAGTTTGTCCATAAATACTCGCCTAACTGAACTGACCCCTGCAATGAGGCCTGCAACTTTGTCCCTCCTTGTCAGATGCGGGAAAATTATTCCGCCAGCAACGGACTTAATTTTTACTGCGACAACTACTGTTCCAGTTCTTCCGCCCTCCGAAATTCGAACGCGGGAAAGCAGCGCGTCGAGGCATGCTCCAAACACGTTTGCCAAACAAAATTTAACGCAAAAACAGAGGACCGGAGATAAAATTAACAGATGAAGAAAATTTGAGCGAAAGAGGGCGCCCCGGCGAACCGGCCCGGAAATTTTTGGTCGTGATCTTCCGCCTTAATCAGCAGCGGCTGTGCGTGCACTGTGCAGCCGGCCCGTCGAGCGCTGCCCTCTCTAGGGGCGCAGTGACGCGCGTGCACATGCAGCGCCCGGTGTCGCCGAGTCTGACGCCCCGCAGCACCCCGCTGCCTTGGAGGCCGCTAGCGCTGCTAGGCCAGGCAGGCACCATCTGCGACTCACGCCGTTGGTCGCCGCGGCTCGGCTAGGCGCGCGCGGGGGGGAACGGGCGGGGCGGGCGGCCCCCGAGGCAACATGCTGGCCAACAGTTTATGAGAAAGTGATGTAAATTATAATCGCATGAGTCTCTCCTCGCATGCCCGCGTCTAGCTTCCAGAGCTATGCAGCACAGCAGCCTGCCAAAATTAATGCTCTTATCACACGGGGGTTGCTGGTCCCAGGTCCCGAGGTCCTGTGTGCCTAGGTGCTGTACGATCTACGGGCTCCACCTCCGCCTACACTGCAACACTGGCGCCTGGCCTGGCTTGGCCTGGCTTGGCTTGGCTTGGCCTGGCTTGGCCTGGCTTGGCTTGGCCTGGCTTGGCTTGGCCTGGCTTGGCTTGGCCTGGCTTGGCCTGGCTTGGCTTGGCCTGGCTTGGCTTGGCCTGGCTTGGCTTGGCCTGGCTTGGCCTGGCTTGGCTTGGCCTGGCTTGGCTTGGCCTGGCTTGGCTTGGCTTGGCTTGGCCTGGCTTGGCCTGGCCTGGCTTGGCTTGGCTTGGCTTGGCTTGGCTTGGCTTGGCTTGGCCTGGCTTGGCTTGGCCTGGCTTGGCTTGGCTTGGCTTGGCCTGGCTTGGCTTGGCCTGGCTTGGCTTGGCCTGGCTTGGCTTGGCCTGGCTTGGCCTGGCTTGGCTTGGCTTGGCTTGGCTTGGCCTGGCTTGGCTTGGCCTGGCTTGGCTTGGCCTGGCTTGGCTTGGCCTGGCTTGGCCTGGCTTGGCTTGGCTTGGCTTGGCCTGGGCCGGGCTCCTAATCAGGCGTTCTTCTTGCTCGCTTTCCTGCGTCGCCGCGTCTGGCTTGTCCGTTGTTCGTCGGCGAGGTGCTGGGCTTGGTGCTGGGCCGCAGTGCACCTCCACGACGGCCACGTGCACACCACGCAGCGCACCCATGAAAAGTTTTAAAATATGTGTTTTGGCCGTGATGAAAGTTGCCCCATAAATTTGGCGTCCGACCGCCGGGCCGGGCAGCCCCGCCGCCCCGCCGCCGCACCGTATGCACCGGCGGCGGAGACGCTGGCGGCATGCTGGCGAAGACGGTGGGGGTCGTCCTCGCAGTGCGCTCGCAGTGCCGCCTGGCGCACTGTGGACACAGCCCGCCACAACGCGCCGCAACGCGGTGGCGGTGACGTCAGGCGTCTCGCTTTTTGGTCCGGACTGCCGGAGATGGTCATTGCCCGGCACTGGCCGCGCGCAATGGAGCGAGAGGCGAAAACGGCCTCCTCGGGGTTGGGCAGTGGCGGGCAGTGGTCAGTCCTGGCCGCCGCCCCCCCACCCCACACCCCCCACGCCACGCGTTCATTCCTTGCATTATTCAAGCGCGCCGCGTCCAGCTTTTAAGCAAGATTGCATTTAGTTACATTCCGCGCGGCCAAGGCCCACGCCCGAACCGCGGCCCGCCCGGCCCCGCCCCGCCCCGCCCCGCCCCGCCCCGCCCCGCCTTGCTGTAGACCGGCGTGGCGTCGCTCCGCCGCTCGCACGCGTTTAATGGGTCGAAAGCGGCCTGCCGAGACGGGGGCGGGACGACGGGGCGGGACGACGGGGCGGGACGACGGAGCGGGATTCGGCGGCCGACATTGTATCGGGCTCGATGGGGAGGGGCAGCGGGTGCTGCAGGAGGCCATGCACGCGGACCGCGCGCGAGGTCAGCGGCGTGCCGCCCCGCCCCGCCGGGCCTGGCCGGCCTTCCCTCTCGCTTTTATGGACTTCAATAAATTCTTAAGCCAACTTGAGGTGAGGGTCGCTCGCCTCGCCGTCCCGAGTCCGACCCGTATCAATCGGAGGGCGGTGCGCGGCCACCCCGGGTCCGGGTACCCTTGCAGCGCGAGTGTTAAGACGGCTGGGAGCGAAAAATGGCCGCCGCGACGGATCGAGGACGCCGTCGGGACGCCGTCGGGACGCCGTCGGGACGCCGTCGGGACGCCGTCGGGACGCCAGGCGCTGGCTGCTGGATCCGCCCGGGATTGCTATTATTCCGCTTGACCTCGCCTCGTTTATATGGGCGGCGCGGCGGTGGCGGTGGCGGCGCGGCTGGCGTAGGGCGTAACCCGATTCCCCTTTGCATTGCGCTCCGCGCTGATGACTCAATCTCTCTTCAATTTGACCAAGGCGCGGCCCCGCAGCCCCGCGGCCCCGCAGGCCGCCGTCTTGCAGCGGCAAGATGTTCCATCTCGTGAGTGGTCGGGGCTACGTGCGCTAACAGCGGCTCCATCCCCGTCTCGGCGGGCCGGGGCCTGGCAGGGGGTGGCTGCTGCAGTGGGCCCTGCGCGCTGCCCCTGCAGCCTATGCAGCCCTGCAGCCCTGCACTGGCGTTCAATCACTTCGCTTCGTCCAGCAGTCCGCCGTTCCCATCACATCATGCCGGCCGGGCATCCGCATCGCCCCTCCCCCTCCCCCTCCCCCCCTCCCCCTCCCCCCAACTCTCTGCGGCGCCGACTGCTGCTGATTATCGTCGGATTTGCAGCGACCTGCGGAATGGAGTGCTGGAACACCGAGCCGCGCACGCCGCCTTCCAGCGTTGTAACTACGCGAGTGTGTGTGTGTGTGTGTGTCCGTGATTGTGTGTGTGAGAGAGAGAGAGAGAGAGAGGTGTTGGGGGGTGGGATCAGGTCGCGTTGACCCGAGATCTCATTAGGGCACATGTTCTGGGCATAGCCGTGGCGTAGCAGCGGAGGTGGCGGAGGTGGTGGAGGTCCCACACAACATCAACAACAACAACATCATCAGCAGCGACAGCGCGCGAGGCACCAGGTGCCGCGAGTTGCCTCCGAGAGCTCCCGGTGTTCGAAAACGACACCCCACGGTGCCGCGGCGCCGCCCCGCTCCAGCCCAGCATCAGAGGGGAGGCCAGCCAGGTACCAGGACGAGGGGGCGGCCGTGCGGGCGGTGCGTGGGCTGGCCCCTCTGTGTTGCAACAACCCGCGTCGCCAAGCAACATCGGCGGCAGGCGGGCCGAACAGCCATTTACATTTCGAACAATTTTTTTCCCCTTTTTTTCTCAAAATCTGTTCCGAGTTTCCAAGTACCGCTACTACCTCAACGCGGCCGTCATCGTCGCGAACCCCGACCCCCTCCAAGTCTGCCGAGTGGAGCTTGCCGCCTCCAAAATGCGCGAAATCTGTCACCTGCAGGCCGGCCAGTGCGGCAACCAGATCGGCGCCAAGGTAAAGCACCCCACGTCGTTGAGGCACTGGAAATCGGTCGGGAAATCGCGGGAGGCGCGGCCGAGGCGCGTTTTCGCGGGATTTGCCTTCCCGCCGTCCTTGACCCTTTCCCTTTTTCTTCCTTTTTTTCGGCCGGAAGGCAGTGGGGGCGTCCTTATAAATCGTATCCACGTCACGGACGCGCACCTCGCCAGATAACTTGGAGACTATCGACTGCTCGCTCGCCTGGCTCCAACCTCCGGGCGACCGCCTTGCCCAAGCCTTGCCTCTCCCTTCTCCCTTTCCAGTTCTGGGAGGTTATCTCTGACGAGCACGGCATAGACCCCACCGGGACGTACCATGGTGACTCGGACCTGCAGCTGGAGCGCATTAACGTCTACTTCAACGAGGCCAGCGGTGAGTCTGAAGGGCCTGGCAGGGCCTGGGAGGGCCCAGTGGGGCAGGGGGCGGCCGCGGCGGGTAGCCCGCGGCCACGTCAGATAGGCGGCGCGACGCGGTGGGCGGAGGGGAAGGGGGAGTGATATTAAAGTTTGCGCCGCCGCCACCGCGCCACGGCCCTCACATCACCGGACCAAGTCCCGCTGCTTCGCGGCTTCGCGGACTTGGCGGTGCGGCGTTCGTGTTTTTGTTCCTTCTTTACCTTGCCATAACTGCCATAACTGACCGGCCGCTCGAGACTGCTACTCCGCGAGGCCCGGTGGGCCGCGCCGCAACACGCGCATCACTCCAACTTTCCGCCTCGCCGAAAGTCGGAAGTGGCGATCATGGTTGTGGCAGCAGCACGCTGTTTGCAGCCTGCACTGTCGGCATGCAGTCCGGATGCTCCAAGAGACTGTAAGGTCGTTGGCTGCTGTTCGTTTGCGCACACTGTAAAAGCGGTGAGGTCAGAGTGGTCCAAAATTTGGTTGATAATTTTTTTAGCAGATGATACCTTCACACTTGAAACATACTTAAAACTACTATACACATGAAGGTGTCAGCGTGCTTTTACTCTCGAGTCCAGAAACGAAGCGCGTATCCTAAACAATATAATAGGGGCTGGCTGCCGGGGCGGGAAACCCAACGAGTATTGACTGAGAAATTTGAAAGGGAAAAGAAAAAAATTTGAACTCTACACCCCCTCCCCAGTCTTAATGGGGAGGCCTCCTGCTTTACTTCGGTGTTCGGGATGGGAACCGGTGCTATCAGGTACCTGGGGTTAATCCCGTCAGCGACTCTAAGCGTTCGCCGGGGGACCCAGTAGGACCCCAAAGCTCAGGCAGCTGGGTGAGAGCACCCAGTACGAAGCTCTTAGAGGGGCGGGACGTAGAGTGAGACGACAGAGAGACAGAGAGAGACTCAGACAGAGAAGAGGTTTGGTGGGAGCTTTTTGTTTTCGTAGGGTTGGTTGTGTACCCCATGGTACCCCCACTGTCCGGCGCTCCCGTACCGAACATACAGCGTTTTAGGCCAGCTTCAAAGGACTTATCATCGCCTCCCCGACAAGTCAAGGAGGCACCACCCGCAACCACACACCGGGTGGTCTGGATTGATGGATCAAATACTCCATCGCTCCAGTGCCGAGGCCAACCCGCCGAAGCGGATTGCTTTTTAGACACCCACAGCGGAGTGGCCAGGTGAATGTGACTCTGACCACTACGCTATCACGCTTGTACGTCTGGCAGCGTGTTGGACGACGGGTTTGAGTTGCACTGGGAGGAAGGCGGTCGAAAAATGTAATGAAATGATGGGATTCGATCCCCGGACCCCGCCATCGGGATCACACGACTTTACGCTCTCGGCCACCACGGCCCATGATGAGGGGATCGGCGTGAGGTGGGTTCTTGACGCAACAGGACTCGACCGACCCGGTCAAAATTTCGCAAGAAGTTGGGGGAGTCGAACCGCCGACCCTAGCATTGGGAACCGACGTCTCTACTCCCTGGACCACCACGTCCCATGCACGGAGTAAGCTCACGTTCACGGCCTTCAACCGCACTGGGTGAGGCAGTAAAATTAAATGGAAATATTTGTTAGGAGTCGAACCTCCGGCATGTGGGTCTGTTGCACACGGCTCCGCTCGGATGGCCTCGAACCACCACCCTTAGGATAGTAAGTCGAAAAAACTTATGTGACGCTGGTATTCGAACGCCGGCCTGCGGTAACTCGATCCCACGTCTCTAACCTCTCGGCTATCACAGCAGTTGTGAAACGCGACGGGTCATCTGCTTTCATTAACGTTCGTTGAATGAGATTTTTGGAACACTTTAATAAATATACCTAAAAACGACCTCTAAAACACTGAGTTTTAGTCCATTCATGACACTTCTTTTACAGTGTAACCCCACCCCCAGCCCCAAACACAGAGGATATTTAAATTAATTAAAATTCCCTCGAAAGGGATAGTGGCGAACTCTAAGCTTTCACCCTCAAAATCCCCCTTGGGTGTTGACACTCTTTATACTCTACGTCCCCCCCCCCCAAAAAAAAAGTCTCGGGGTGGGATTCGAACCCGCGCTCTCCTCCCTTCCTCTCCCCAGGCGGCAAGTACGTGCCCCGCGCCGTGCTCGTCGACCTGGAGCCGGGCACCATGGACGCCGTGCGGTCCGGCCCGTTCGGACAGCTCTTCCGGCCAGACAACTTCGTGTTCGGCCAGAGCGGCGCGGGCAACAACTGGGGCAAGGGCCACTACACCGAGGGCGCCGAGCTGGTGGACGCCGTCATGGACGTGGTGCGCAAGGAGGCCGAGGGCTGCGACTGCCTGCAGGTGAGCATAGAGTTCACCAGATTGATTCCCCTCATACTACACGGCGTGGTGCGAGACCCTCCCTCCTGTTTCGTGCTCTGCATCACCGTCGCCATGTCACAGGGCTTCCAGCTGACGCACTCCCTGGGAGGCGGCACGGGCGCCGGCATGGGCACCCTGGCCATCTCCAAGATCCGGGAGGAGTACCCGGACCGCATCATGTGCACCTACAGCGTCGTGCCCTCCCCCAAGGTCCCCGACAGGCTTGCCGACAGGTCCCCGGCGTGCGCGCGCGAGGCACGGCCACGCCGCCAGAGAGTGGTCCAGACCGGCGTTGTGCCCGCAGGTGTCCGACGTGGTGGTGGAGCCGTACAACTGCACGCTGTCCGTGCACCAGCTGGTGGAGAACACGGACGAGTCCTACATGATCGACAACGAGGCGCTGTACGACATCTGCTTCCGCACGCTCAAGCTGACCACGCCCACGTTCGGCGACCTGAACCACCTCGTGTCCGCCACCATGTCGGGCGTCACCACCTGCCTGAGGTACCGTCCTGGGAACGGCCCTCCGTCCAACCTTGGGGCCTTTCGGTCCTGGTTTCCCAGGACGCGGTTTTACAGTGGGCGAGGGAGACGGCAGGCTCCGAAGGCGCAGCCAGTTCTTGCCGACCGCGTCGTAACGATGCCGAATCCGCGGCGCAAACGTTCTCAACTCGCTCGCGCCTTACCGACCCGCCCTGCTTTTCTCGTTTTTGCTCGGTTTTTCCCATTTTTCTCCTCGGCGACTTCCGGGGCAGGGCCACCGCCCTGGCCGCCCTGGCCACTGCGCTGCACGCTAGCGCACGCTGCAGTGCTGCGTATTGAAACTCCATAAGCGAGGCGGAATATAAAGCAAAAAAAGTATCGCCGGCCCGGACAGCCCGGACCGCTAACGCCGATAAGACTGCATCAATATTCTGTATCTGCGAGCGCGCCGAGCGCGCCGAGCACGACCAGAGCGCGGCACCAGGCAGTGCAGCAATACTTTTCTGGCGCAGCGCCTTCAATCTTAAAATTTGATATCGACCGGAATGAGCTTGGCATTGGCAAAGATCACGAGGCTACATCCCGGCCCGACCAATCCCATCGCTTGGGTATGCAAATGAGACCCCTTTCCCTCCGGGCCCGCCAGGCCCGCCAGGCCGAGGCCGGGGATGTAGAACAGTCGCCACTGCGGCCTTGCGTCGCTCGGGGGGGGGGGGGCTTCCCTAAAACCACTCGGCTACTTTCTGACGCCCACATCTTTACGTGGGCATAACCCCGCGACCCTGCTTTTAGTGCGGGGACACTGGCCGCGCTGGCCGCGCTGGCCGCGCTGGCCGGCAGCCCCTCTTTACGGCCCGCCCCCTCCTCCTGCTCCGGCGCAGGTTCCCCGGCCAGCTCAACTCGGACCTGCGCAAGCTGGCCGTCAACATGGTGCCCTTCCCGCGGCTGCACTTCTTCATGCCGGGCTTCGCGCCGCTCACGTCGCGCGGCAGCCAGCAGTACCGCGCCCTCACCGTGCCCGAGCTCACCCAGCAGATGTTCGACTCCAAGAACATCATGTGCGCCTGCGACCCCCGCCACGGCAGGTCGGTCGGGGTCTAAAAAGAGGACAAAAATGAAAATTTTCGAAACTTTGCGACTCTTTTCCAAGTTTGGCTTCTCGAAATTTTACAACCCTTCGAAAATGTTTTTCTTTCACTTCTAGATATTTGACGGTGGCGGCCATCTTCCGGGGACGCATGTCCATGAAAGAGGTGGACGAGCAGATGCTGAACGTGCAGAACAAGAACTCGAGCTACTTCGTGGAGTGGATCCCGAACAACGTCAAGACGGCCGTGTGTGACATCCCGCCCCGAGGTGCGCCGCAGCAGCCCACACGGTGTCGCCGGGGAAGGCCGTCGAGGCCGTGCACGCCGCAGAGCCCGGCCCAGTCCGCGCCGTGCGATTGCGCCAATCGGGCGGCGGCCAAAGCGGAACTACGTGGACCTGCCGGCGGATGTGCCGATCGAAATTGGGCCGGGCATGAGGAAGCGCCGCGAGGAGGGCACGAAGGGAGGCGGAAAAAGTGGAAGAAAGAAACATGACGTCCAGTCAGGCGGCCGTCGGGGGCTTTCGACATCGGCGTAGCGGGGCGCTGCGGCCTTCGTGTTTAGGACCATTCCATTCTTTGCCTCCGCCCCACCCACCCCTACAGCCCCCGGGGGCCGCGAATCCTTCAGGTCAAATCAACCGTTCGTTCTTTGCATTTCTTTTCTTGCTACTTTTGAAACAGGCCGCACGGTACGATGGGCTTCGCCGGGCTTGTCGGGAACAAGACCATTGTTCGCGACTTGACCCTCCCTTCCTCCATCATCTTCTTCTTCTTCTCCAGGTCTCAAGATGGCCTCCACCTTCATCGGCAACTCCACGGCCGTGCAGGAGCTGTTCAAGCGCGTGGGCGAGCAGTTCACCGCCATGTTCCGGCGCAAGGCCTTCCTCCACTGGTACACCGGCGAGGGCATGGACGAGATGGAGTTCACCGAGGCCGAGTCCAACATGAACGACCTGGTGTCCGAGTACCAGCAGTACCAGGACGCCAGCGCCGAGGAGGAGGGCGAGCTCGAGGAGGAGGAGGAGGAATGACGGTCGCGGACAAGATCGAGCTAAACTGTAAAATTCTATCTAAAATTATTGTTCTTGTATAAACATTGTTAAAAACAACTTTTGAAGGGAAGGCCAGGTCTAGAGTCCTGTCGACAGCCCGGGAATTCCCCCCAACAAGTTTCTTCTCCGTCGTGGACGTTTTACAGTAAACCTTTTTTCCTAAAGAGTTTTCACGTCGCTAATTTCTAATTTCCCCCGGATTAAACCCCTCACAACGACAGGCTCATTCAATTATTCACCTCGGCACTACTCCGCGCTCTGCCCGGTGGCCGGCGCGCGGCGTAGCGACGCCGATACCCCGCGCGTCGGGGCGCCGGCCAGTGGTTGGCGGTGCGGCCGCCAGGCGGCAGCAGGTGGGTGGTCGCCTCGGCGGTCGCCGCGCCGCGAGTCGGCATGCGGGGTCCCGGCTCCAGCACGGCCCGCTGTCAGGTGGTCAAGCAGGTCTGCGAGGAGGGGGAGGGGAGGTGAAAGAGAGACTAGACGAGTACGAGTAAGAGCAGCCCTGGCTGGGCGTAACTGGCTCAACGTTTCGGTTGCGCTTGTTCCGACCGCGAGAGACAGAATCGGAAAGTTTAAATTCTGCGTTGAGCATTGTACAGAGCTTACCAAGGTTTACGTATGTGAATTATTTAATTTGAATTGGTAGTCTCTAATCTTAGTGTTGCATAAAAAATTTACATAGTGCCCAAACATTTTGGGGCGTACGGAATTTTCTTCCACTCGTCGGCCGGCTGGTGGTCGACTAGGTCGAGTAGGAGGATGATGAGAGGAAGAGACGGGACCGCGAGCGGCCCCCTTACCCCTTCCCTTAGGTGGGGCGGAGGTACCCGCGGTACTCCCCCCCCCCCCTTTCCCCCTCGCCGCCACGGTCCGGCTCGACTCTTTGTGGCGCTGGCTTTCGAGCGGAGCAGCTCCGCGCCGAGCCCAGCCGAGCCCCAGTGTGGCCGCCAGCGGCACCTACCTGGCCGCTCGCCCAGCCGCTCGCTGTCGGCCTGTCGGCCCCTCCACCCGCCGCGCCCCGCCACGCCCCCCGCCGCGCCCCGCCACGCCGTGCGCTGGTGCGCTGGCCGCACCTCAGCAGGGCCTGGCCGCCGTCGCGCCGTCGCCGCCGCCGCTCCAGTCGTGCGTTGAATTCCCCCGCGCGAGGATGTCGTTCGTGATCGCGTTGGTGGCGTTGGCCGCCGTGGCGCAGCCGTGCCTGGGCCACGCCCAGCCGCAGCCCCTTGCCCAGCCGCTGGCGCAGCCGCAGCCCCAGCCGCAGCAGTACCCGCCGCCGCCGTACGGCCAGCCCGGAGGCATCCCGCCGCCCGGCGGCTACCCTGGAGCGCCGCTGCCCGGACAACCGGGCTACACCGGCGTCGGCGGCGTCGGCGGCAGCGGCTACAACGCGTCCTACTTGGGGGCGTCGCCGTACGGCCCGGCCAACGGCGTGCCCGGCTACCCCGGCTCCAACGACATGTTCCGACCGGTGTACGAGTGGTTCAAGCTGGACTTCGCGTGGCCCGACGAGAACCTCAAGGCGGCGGCCCTGCGCGCGTCGCAGTACATCCCGGAGAACAACGCGCTGGCCGGCATCAAGGTGTGGCGCGACCGCATGTTCCTGTCCGTGCCCCGCTGGAAGGAGGGCGTGCCCGCCACCCTGACGTCGGTGCCCGCGCAGCCCCGCGGCGGCTCCAACGCGCCCCGGCTCGAGCCCTTCCCGTCCTGGGAGTGGCAAGAGCAGGGCAACTGCTCCGCGCTGCAGAACGTGCACGGCTTCGAGATCGACAACGAGGGCAGGATGTGGGTGCTGGACTCCGGGCGCGTCAACACACGCGGACGCAACCAGGAGAACCGCTGCCCGCCCAAGCTGGTCATCTTCGACCTCAACACGGCGCAGTTCACCGACAACTACTACAACAACGGCTACAACATGAACTCCGGCAGCTCCATCCCCGGCTCACCCGGCTACCCCGGCCCCGGTGGCGCCTTCAACGACCCCAACCGCCCTACGGCAGCAACCAGCCCTACGGCTCCGGCAACCAGCCCTACGACCCGAACAGGCCCTACAACCCCAACAACCCCAACCAGCCCTACGACCCGAACAGGCCCTACAACCCCAGCAACCCCAACCAGCCCTACAACCCCAGCCAGCCCTACTCCAGCAACCCCTCGGACCCTCACTACCGACCCAGCCAGTACTCCAGCAACCCGGCCGACCCCAACTACCGACCCTACTCGAGCAACCCGTCCGACCCTAACTACCGCGACCCCAACTACAGGTCTGGCTACGACAACAACTACAACGACCCCTACAACCACAACAACCAGTACGGCGGCGGCTTCGGCAGCAACAACCCCCTGTACCGCAACAGCCCCAACCGAGGCATCCGCGTCATCAAGTCCTACACCTTCCCCGAGGAGGCGGCCCAGCGCACCAGCGCGCTGCTCAGCAACATCGTCCTCGACAGCAACGACGGATGGTGAGTACCGCATCCAGGTGGGCGTGGCAGTGGCAGTGACGTCCAGGGCGTCCAGGGAGTGCCGTCTGTGACTGGCTGCCTGACTGATGGCGCTTCGACCCAGGGAGTCCTGCAGGACGCGCGTCGAGTGGCGGGGAAGGCCGCCATTTCTAGCCTCAAAATCAGAATCCCCGGTGGCGTCCCCCCGCGGTCGATCCTCGCGGCGACTCTCGTGGCGGCCACATCGACCACGCCCCGCGGAACGAGGCGTTCCCGGGCTCGCCGTCACCGAGGTGGTTCTCGTTCGCCACCCGGCCCGCGGTTCCCACCCTCCGCGCGCCGCCATGGTGCCGCCATGGTGCCGCCCGCATCGGCACACGCACGCCGCGCACGCACTGGCACACTGGCAGGCGCGGTCTGGTAACAGGTGGAGGGTGGCAGGTGCAATGTGACATGCATATGCATAGCGTTCGCGGCGTTCGGCACCCTCCGGCCCGCGGCCTCTTGTTGTTGTTTTTATTTAGAGCCAAGGGAGAGGGGTGCCGCGGCCGGGAACACCCCTTCCCCTTTCCCCGGCCTGCCCTTCCTGAAAATTAAATACCCACCCTCTCCCTCCGACTCTGCGCCGGCTCGCTGGCCTCCCTCGCGCACTTGGCGGCCACGATAATGAGCCCAACTTTTAAAACGGCGGCGGATGGACGAGGCGAGACGAGGCCGGCTGGGGAAAAGTTTGCGGGAGGCGTATGGCACCGCCAGGGGCGTGGCGTGGAGGGGCGGGGCGGGGCGGGGCGGCACGACGAGGCGGCGGTCGAGAGACTGTACAAGTACACGCTGCGGCAGTTAGCGCCGCTTGAACTTGAACGGAATGAACTCGGCTCGGCGACCCTGTCCGTGCCAAGTGGAGGTGCACGGCCTGCAGTCTGCACGGCCTGGTCGGCCTGCAGGGTGTCTAATTGCATTCTCACCCCCGCCAGACAGTGCGGCGCGGCCCGTTCCGGAAGGAGGGGAGGGGAGGGGCGCAACACAGCAAGCACGCCGTCGACCCGAGGGCGGGGGTCGAGGCGCTAGCGAGCATGCCTCGTTTCTCGTTTTCGCAACCCGCCGCCGTCACCGCGCGACGCCGCGACGCCGCGAGGCCCTCCGGCTGCATAGCGGACCGCGGCGCGCGTCTTCGGCGGCGCGCTGTACTTCTCGGCGACGTTGCCAAGTGGCGGCAGGTAGCGCCGCGACGCCGCGTCCACGTCAACGCCGTCGACGCGACGCTGTAGGAAACTATCCGCTGCATGCTCCGGCCAGTGCCAAGTGGCGCCGTTGGTTCGCCGGGGTGCGCTAATCCGCCCCGAGGCTGTCGAGGCTCGCGGGGCGCCGGCAGTGGCGTGGCCGGGAGGCGCCATGGACAGTGGCGGAGCCGGGCCTGCGGGGCCACCGCGCCCGTTCGGTGCACCAGGGCGCTCCGACCGGGATGGACACTCGTCCGGCCCCGCCCCTCTGCCTTGCCATCAGACCGAGTGGGTCCGGCGGGGTCCGGCGGGGTCCGGGGACCGTGGGGACGGCCGGGCTAGGCGGCCAGAGCTAGCCGGGGCGGCGGGGCTCACTTCCGGCGAAGCACTGAGATGCATCGGGCGTGGCCCGGCGTGGCGGTGCCCCGAGGCCCTACCGTTTCGCTGGCTCATCGCGGCGCCGGTAGCAGGCCGTGCAGGCCGACAGGGTGATCGATACCCCGCCAGTCTGTGTACGAGATCGGTGCTACGCGCCACGCCCATAGCACGCCCAGCAGTGCACAATGTCAATCGGGTCGGCTCCGCGCGCTGCTCCCAGCCGTGCAGACCATAAAGCAGCCCGAGATTGCATTCAGCGGCCGTCGTCTGGCGATAGCGGCACGGCGACGCGGGGCAGCACACCGGCTGGTCGCGTCACTGGAAGCTAGCCGAGCCAAAGCCCGCGAGCCGGCGCTGTAAACACCCAGGCCAGGGGGCGCAGGGGGTGGGGCGCTGCCCTTTGTCTGACGGGGCTGCGTAGGGCAGTGCTTGGCCTACATCGCGGCGCCGCCCGGCCCTGCCCGGCCCTGCCCGGCCCTGCCGCACTGCCGGGTCAACGCCCGCTCCACCCACGCACACACCGCGGCGCGCTGCGACGCGCTGCGACGCCCAGCGTCACCACTTGCACTGTCGGCACGGCCCTGCACGGCACGCCTACGGTGCCCACCACGCCACTGGAATGCGATGCCCGCCGGGCGAAATGACGGCACGATACACTGTCGTCAGCACGCAGGGCGGCGTGGCAGTGGCGGTGGCCCATATTCGACGCGGCCACCCCAGTGGGCTACGAGGAGCGCGTCGTCCAGCAGTCCGGTAGCCCGGCTAGCCAGCCGGCCAGCCAGCCGCCCCTCGGCCAGCCCGTTGCCGTTGCATCGATCCGCTTGCCCGGGCAGCCGCAGCGCCGCGCCGCCCGACCGCTCGCTGAGATATCGTATCGTATCGACCGCACGGCCGCGCGGCTAGCTTGTCCAGGCTCGTCCAAAGATGGCCGTCACCGCGAGTCGTTAGCACGGTGGTTGTCACACTGTGTGCGAATTCCCGAACCTTCCGGGTTCTCGGCGTCTCTAGGCTGATTCCGGTAACAGTCATCTCGTCGCACTCAAGGGCCACACTCCCTAAGGGTGCGAGATAGACAGAGCGACGAAACATTGTTTGGAATCAGTCTGGACGCACTCACCCTCTCCGTATCGCGCGACTAATGAGTCATCGTGTCACGCTCTCTATCAGTTCCGTACCTGAGCCGAGCCCCTCCACAATAATGATAGTGCTTCCACCGGCGCCCTCCCTCCGTCGAATGCCACCTCACCAACACCACGGCACGCCGCGCCCTATGCACGTGTTCACACACGTCCTGGCCGCGCGTGTGTATGTGTGTGTGTGTGTGTGAGTGTGAGTCGACAAGCAGTCGAACAAAGCGTCAGGGCCGTGCACCCTTCCCGACGTGACGGCCTGCACGGCCTGCACGGCCTGCCACCTGCACCTCACGGAGCGCACGCGCAAGGCTGGGTGGCCGCCTTGCCACCGCCACTGCTTATGGCGTGCGCGTGTGTTACTGCTTTTTCCGCCTGCCAACGTCGCCGGCGTCGCCAGCGTGGCGCGCGGGTTCGATCCCCGGCCCCGGTGGGGGACTTTCCGTGCGCCGTGCTTAGCACTTGTGCGCACACACAGATGCAGCGCCGCTAGGAGTCGCCACTCCCGAAAAAAACAAAAAAACATTCGGGAAAAGCAAACGCGGCGAAGGTAAATGTGACGCTCGCGAGTGAAAGCGGCTGTTTATTTCGAGGCGTGCTTTTGGCCGCCGAGCCGCGGAAACCGCCGCGGAGGCTGGCGGCTCGGTCTGGGCGCTCGGGCTGGCCGCTCGGGCTGGGCGGCGGGCGACTTGCGGGAGCTTTGATTGCGATTCAAGTCGAGGCAACGCGTGTCGGTGTCGCCACGCCGCGCTCCTCACTGCACGACGTGCACGACGCGTGCGAGTGCATATTCATATTCATGTTCACTTTACACTGCAGCGGCGGCCAGGCGGGCGCGGCCGCTGCACCCGCGGCCCGGTCGGCGGAATCCGTCGCAATCGCAGAAAAGGAGGAAAATCCGGACTTTTCGACCGCGGTTCCAGCGATCTTCCTCCTGCCCTCGCGCAACCTGCAGCGGCGTGGCGCGGCGTGGCGCTTGTCGGGGTGGCTCGGCGTTCGTGCCGGCACCGCGCGGCAGTTCTATTCGGACCTGTCCATCACTCGGGGGGAAATTGAGGAGCCGCGTGCCGCCCCGCGAGGTGGAGGTGGAGGCCGCCAAGGTGGAGGCCGCCCCCACGGCCCACGGCCTCGGCGAGGAGGGGAGGGGAGGGAGGGGAACATTCCGTGGGAAGTGTCCCCTGGGCCGGGCTGCCGGGGCTGCCGGGCTGGCTAATGGATTATCCCCGACTCGCTAACCGGCGGGCGGTACGTGCGCGCACCTGTGCCGCTTCCCGCCGCGGGGCTCGAGGACGCCGACGGGGACGCCGACGGCCCTCAATGGACGGCCTGTTCGTCGCGGTGCGTTCAGCGCGTTCAACTCGGACGACTGGAGGGACGGGGTCGGCGTCAGCGCCTCCCAGAGACCGAGAGTGCCGCGCGGCGCCGCGGCGGGTATTCTAATCGTCGAAGCGGTGACATCAGCGCGCTGCCGGCCGCGCCGCCGCGCCACTAGCGCCTCGCTCGAATCGCTCCTGCCGCCAGCCGCGCCGCGCCGCGGTGCCGCGATTCGCTGAGCCGGTCGGCTGGAGCTGGCTGGAGCTGGAATGTAGGACGGAGCGCCGCGGCGCCGCGATGACCCTCATGGCGCTGCAGCGCTGCAGCGGGCCCCTTCCACACAGCCACACACGCGCGGACTGCAGCCGAAGCAGTCCTTGCACTTTAACGCGATGCCCCCCTTGCTCAGCGCCTTTGTGTGTTTCCAGGTGGGTATCTCTCGGCCTGGCGGCGGCACTGTAACCGGCATCCTGGAAGACTGGAAGGAGCCCGTGCACGCCGTCTCGGTGAAGTATCGCACGGCGGCGGGAGCGCCGTGCTCTGGCCGGGTAGGCCGCCCGCCCGCACGGCGGCAAGAGGGTGGCCTACCCCGGACGAGGCAGGCGCTCGCCGCGCGGCCCCGCGGCCACGCCCGGAATGTCGTAGTGATTCCCCCCTTATCCTGACGCTTCGTGACGACCAGACGGTCTCGTAACTCTCGTCGTTGTCACCGTCCGGCCTTTGACCTTTGCCGTCCAGAAAGAACACACTCCGAAAAGTCGGAGACGGAGGAGCTATTTGTTTGTTTTTATTCATTGTGCTAGACGGCCGCACTGGTAAAACTATCCCGTCTGTTCTCAAGCGTAATCTGTTTTACGCTTGTAATCAAGCGTAACAGGCTCATCCGCTCGGATTCCCCGCTCAGCTCGGGGATTTCTTGTCTAGGCTTAAGTGTAACGTCTTGAAACGTAACTCGATGCTCGACCCAGGCACACAGTCG